GTTGTAGAAACATCTCAAGGATGATCAATCGAAACAGAATACAGCTGAGCTCAATTTCGAGTCTCATAGCAAAGGGTCTGAATATTTTTGTAAATAAGGTATTTCTGTTTTTTTACTTTTAAATTTGCAACAATTTCTAAAAACCTGTTTTCGCTTTGTCATTATGGGGTATTGTGTGTAGATATACTTTTTTTTTGTATCTAATACATTTTAGAACAAGGCTGTAATGTAACAATGTGGAAAAAGTCAAGGGGTCTGAATACTTTCCGAATGCACTGTATGTCTTATTTAGTGTATCTTATTTAGTATATCTTCTTTAGTACAAAGTGCCAACTGTAAAGTTTGGGGGCGGAGGATCAATGGTCTGTGGCTGTTTTTCATGGTTCGGGTTAGGCGCCTTTGTTCCAGTGAAGGGAAATCTTAACGCTACATCATATGACATTCTAGACGATTCTGTGCTTCCAACTTTGTGGCAACAGTTTGGTGAAGGCCCTTTCCTGTATCAGCATGACAATGCCCCCGTGCACAAAACGAGGTCCATACAGAAATGGTTTGTCGAGATCGGCGTAGAAGAACTTGACTGGCCTGCACAGAGCCCTGACCTCAACCCCATCGAACACCTTCGGGATGAATTGGAACGCCGACTGCAAGCCAGGCCTAATCGCCCAACATCAGTGCCCGACCTCACTAATGCTCTTGTGGCTGAATGGAAGCAAGTCCCCGCAGCAATGTTACAACACCTAATGGAAAGCCTTCTCAGAAGAGTGGAGGCTGTCATAGCAACAAAGGGACCAACTCCATTTTAATGCCCATGATTTTGGAATCAGAGGTTCGACGAGCAGGTGTCCACATACTTTTGGTCATGTAGTGGTACCAGTACCCCTTCCCCCTCCCCCTCTCCCCCCTTCTCCCTCCTCTTCTCCCCCTCTCCTCTTCTCCCCTCGCTTCTTCTCCCCCTCTCTTGTTCTCTATTTACTATAAATTAGAGGAGGGGAGAGAGAGGGAGGGAGAGAGGAGGAAGAGAGTACTGGGGGAGACAGAGAGGGGAGGGATGAGGTGGAGGGAGAGAGGAGAGAGAGAGAGAATATATGTTTGATCACTGACTTCTCACCAGTGATGTCATCATAACCAGTAACCTTTTCCACTCTTGGCCCAGCCCAGCCTGACCCTGACATATAGCATCAGGCCTGTTGAGTTGACTTGGGTAACAGACCTCTAGCTTCTACACCACATCCCCCCTTCTCCTGCTCTAACATGAGACCTCATCAGTACTCATTTTGGGTGCTGGTACTGTTTATATTTAGGTGCTGGAACATTAACCAATATTCTATAAGAGGTGAACTCAAGCAGTAGAAAGTTTGATGTGACTTTCCCAAGTCAACAACTGATGATAATTTAAGATATTATAGCACACACTATGTACAACTTTGCTGCTCTGTCAGCAGTTTCCTGTGGGGGTTTTCAAAACAGATCAGTTTGCTGTATTTAGCTGAGTTCAACCAGTGATCCAAGATAAGTTGCTAAGAAGTTTATCTCACATCAAAGACCTAATGAACTATTGACATAGAAGTCATATAGCCTAGCAGTATTTGTCCACTCTTCAGTCCACTCTTCATGACAGCAGACTTGTATAGCTCAGTGGAGCCCTAGTTAGAGACAGATATGATACCTGCAGTGATATTGATGATCCTGTTCTGGAGCACAGGTAGGATGCTGTTATGCTGATATACACTTGTGACAGTTACTGAGATATGTTTTAATTTAGCAGGGCTAGAGAACGAACATGCAGCATGATGTGATGACCTGTAAATGTACTTTATTGTAGCCTAACTGTCCATCGAGAGAGAGAGAGAGAGAGAGAGACAGACAGAGAGAGAGAGAGAGAGAGAGAGAGAGAGAGAGAGAGAGAGAGAGAGAGAGAATAAATATATATATGGCAGAGAAGGGGAGATGTCAAAAGAGATAGGGCTGACAGACAGTGATGGGCCACTGGCGGTCGCCTTTTGTAGTCCCTCGGATCAATTTCCCAATTTATTTAATTTTCTGGGGTTTCAACTTTATGTTGAGAGTTAGAATAGTAGAATACACAAGGTGCAAATTTGAAATTTGATGGTGCATTGTTATGTCAGGTCACTCACTGTCACTCAATTAGCCCATGTCAGCTAACATTTTTTAGATTGGTAAATTAGGCTAGCGGCCAGCTATCTAAACTCTTAGTAATCATGGTCAAATTACCGACCAGGTGTTAGTCACTCACTCAGATGTCATCTTAAAAAAGGGAACGTTTTCTCTCCTCATATGGCAAAATGAGTAGAATTGCATGAAATGAGTTATAAAATTGCTAAATCTTCTCTCCTCCCCTTGGCAAAATGTGTAGAATTGCAGGAAATGAACTCTAAAATGAAAAATGTTCTCTCCAAATGTCACTTTTTTTTAACCTTTATTTAACTAGGCAAGTCAGTTAAGAACAAATTCTTATTTACAATGACGGCCTACACCGGCCAAACCCGGACGACACTGGGCAAATTGTGCGCCGCCCTATGGGACTCCCAATCACGGCCGGTTGTGATACAGCCTGGAATCGAACCAGTGGGTCTGTAGTGACGCCTCGAGCACTGAGATGCAGTGCCTTAGACCACTTAGGGCCCCGAAAAGGCTAGGGTCGGCTCTGACTGCATGTGTGGTTATGGATGTGGGTAAGCAGAGCCGTGAGACACAGTGGCCCCTCATGATGAGTTCAAATTTGTTGTGGCCCCCACCCACATCAAAGTTGCCCATCCCTTGAGTAACGTGTACTGTACATCAGCTGAATATCTTTTCAGAACTGACTTCTCACCTGTGATGTCATCATAACCAGTAACCTTTTCCACTCTTTCACTCTTGGTCCGGCTCAGCTTGACCTCTGACCTATGTAAATGAACGATTGAAAAAAACTGACGAAAGCAAATGCATTAAATTAAATATGAACTAATCTGCAAAGTGATGCTCACATTTCCATGGAAGGGGAATGTGTGTACACGTTGGTGTTGTTGCGCCATACCAACGATAAGCCTATCTTCCCCATCACATCATGAAAGGTCATGTTGATGTTCACTTCAACGTTTTCTCTCTCTCTCTCTCTCTCTCTCTCTCTCTCTCTCTCTCTCTCTCTCTCTCTCTCTCTCTCTCTCTCTCTCTCTCTCTCTCTCTCTCTCTCAGATCTCCAGGCTCAAAGCGTCAGTCCACCAGGTAGGTAGAGTACAAATCTACAGTGATTATAGCAGTTCAATATTATTCCTTTTTTATCCCACATGGAGAAATTCATGTGTCCATACACACCATTCTAAAACCCAATATCAAGTACTGTTTTATGGCACTACTAATACTTGTCAACCACAAAGCATTACTGCTGTTAGAATAACATAAGCCCTGTCATAATCTGTCCTCACCACTGTGTTTTCCTCTCTGCTGTTTACAGCTGAATACTCAGTCAGACTGGTGAATGGGCCCACTTCCTGTTCTGGGACAGTGGAAGTCTTCTACAGAGGAGAGTGGTTAGTTCTATGTACTGGGTGGTGGAGCATGATAGAGGCTAAGGTTGTGTGTAGACAGATGGGCTGTGGGAATGCTACAGCTGAATCTGGAGGACCTATGGTTGAAGAGGGAAGAGGAGGAGTCATGGTAGAGAGTTGCAATGGAGATGAGTCTACTATTACAAGGTGTGACATCAGTGGAGGACCTGGTGTCTGTAATGGTGAATATTATCATAATGTGATGTGCTCAGGTAAGACACTGGTAATATTGAGAGATGTATTTGTACATTATATCACATGTATCATGTTTTTATGTTTTTATTTTATTACTAGAAAGTAGGTTTTTCTTGATATCTTTTATGGTTATAGATAGCCTGTGTTGTGTGGTGAACTGCCTTACTATACAATGGGACCACACACTACTGACACAATATATGATTTAAAGGGGTGTGTCATCATTTAGAATGTGTTAAAGGGAATTATTCATCATCTCCAGCACCACCCCAACATCAACATACAGTGGTTTGCGAAAGTATTCACCCCCTTTTGGCATTTTTCCTATTTTGTTGCCTTACAACCTGGAATTAAAATGGATTTTTTGGGGGTTTGTATCATTTGATTTACACAAAATGCCTACCACTTTCAAGATGCAAAATATTTTTTATTGTGAAACAAACAAGAAATAAGACAAAAAAAACTGAAAACTTGAGCGTGCATAACTATTCACCCCCCCCCCCCCCCCCCCTTGGCACATCTCCAGGCTCAAAGTGTCAGTCCATCAGGTAGGTAGAGTATAAATCTACAGTGATTATAGCAGTTCAATATTAGTCAACTTTATTATCCCACATGGAGAAATTCATGTGTCCATACACACCATTCTAAAACCCAATAACAAGTACTGTTTTATGGCACTACTAATACTTGTCAACCACAAAGCATTACTGCTGTTAGAATAACAGAAGCCCTGTCATAATCTGTCCTCACCACTGTGTTTTCCTCTCTGCTGTTTACAGCTGAACTCTCAGTCAGACTGGTGAATGGGACCAGTTCCTGTTCTGGGACACTGGAAATATTTTATGAAGGACAGTGGGGCAGCAGGTAGCTTAGTGGTTAAGAGCGTTGTGCCAGTAACCGAAAGGTCGCTGGTTCTAATCCCCGAGCCAACTAGGTGAAAAATCTGTCGATGTGCCCTTGAGCAAGGCACGTAACCCAAATTGCTCCTGTAAGTCGCTCTGGATAAGAGCGTCTGCTAAAATGTAAATGTTGTTCATTTCACCTCTGACTCTCTCTCTCCTCTGTCACTTTAAGCCGAAACTTCGAAATCATGTTCACTACGACAGATAGATAGAAACGTGCCATTTTCCCAGATGTTGATGTTGGGGTGGTGCTGGAGATGATGAATATGAAGTTGAAAAAATTCCCCTTTAACTGTCTTCCCTCTTTAATTACAGCTATCTCTCCAACCCATGCTACAGCTACTCAGAATGACTACATCAATGTTAAGGCATGGAACCCAGATATCCCATCTACCCCCGCCTCTGTTAAACCCAGCTTGGCTACTTCCACCCAGGACACCAGCAGTAGTCTGACCAGCCGGGTTTCAGACACCTCAGCCGGACTCCAAGAGGGTGACACCACCTCTGATCCCACCATCAACACCTCAGCCGGACTCCAAGAGGGTGACACCACCTCTGATGTTACCATCAACACCTCAAGTCGACCTACCACAACAACCCAATCAACCCCATCACAGGGTGACTATATACCCCACTTACCTGTTCAACAGGAGTCCCAAAATCAAATACAACTTAAATATCCCAGAATGCTTTTGTATTTGAGTGTTATCTCAGTGAACGTCTCTACTCACTGCCACTGTCACATGTCATGTTATTGTCATATCTAAATGAGGAAAGTAGTTGAGGAGCCATGTTTTCTTTTTCTCTCCTCTTGTTCCAGATGTCCTGCTTCAGCCTGATATCAACATATGTTGTCTCAGTGACTGTAGGCCCACTACTCATGTTGCCCTGTGAGGGAGGGTGGCTAACACTGTTACATGCTGATGTTATTGTCATATCTACAGGAAACTAGTTGAAGAGGTTTTTCTTGTTCTCTTTTCTTGTTACAGATCTCCCGGTCCAGCCTGATATCTCCCTGACTGACTCAATGGGAGGGGTCTCCAGGGGCCATGAGGGGCCCGAGGTGTTTAGGGGCCACAGCTTCACCATCACCTGCTCCACTCAGCCACAGTACCCAGGAGGCTCCTTCCTCCTCACGTTCACCGGCTCCAATAGAACCCAGACCCAGCCAGCTGTCAATCACTCTGCTGCCTTCCTCTTCCCTGCTGCAGATGACTCCCACCAAGGGAACTACAGCTGTGTTTATGACAATTATGTTTTCTCTCATAACTTCTCCTCTGAGAGCGAGCTCCTCACCCTCACCGTCACAGGTAACTGAACATGAACCAGACTTATAACTTTGTCATTGACAGATTTCCCACAGATCTATGTGATGATGATCAGTCCCCTCATCAAAGGTGTTTCTGTTTGCAGCCTCTCCTCTGCCAGCCTTCATCATCAGACACGTTGTAGTGCTGCTGATCCTACTGACAGCCATCACCACCATCTACCTGTACTACAAGGTAAAGACATTTACTCAGACGTTACAAGTCATTTAAATGTTTATGTGTTTGAGCAGGGTTCAGATTCTACATTGTCTGTATCTATATGATTAACCAGGTGTGTATCTTTGACTTGTGTTTGTTTTTCAGTACTGTACTGATTATATGAAAAGAGGGAGAGAGAGAGAGCGTAAATGTCTGACTATTGGTGCTGTGTCTCCCTAGACCACCAGGAGGCAGAAGAGAGTGAACAGGGTGAGCAGCATGGATCTTTATGTTGATGCCAATGCCATGGAGATGGTCTCTCTGAGCTCCAGAGCTGAAGCTGGACCGGGAGAGGAGAGAGCAGCCCAGGGGACTGAGTAGGAGTAGAATGATGCTGACCCTACATGCTGATCTTAGGTCAGTTTTGTGTTTAAATCTATGGTCAGCAGTGGACTGGTGTTTAAAATGTGGTGACAAACCTTAAGTGGTTCTAATTTTAATAACACAAGTTCAGAATTAGTTTATCTTTCTAGAACCTTGGAAGAAATCTAAAAGGAGTGACTGCAAACACCATTATTCATTTTGATTTTTGCCACCAGGGGAACATGGGGTTTTGGTAACATGGGGTTTTGTTTAATTTAAGAGACTAGCTCAATTAGGTCTGTTTTGCATTCTATCAGTGGAGGCTGGTGGGAGGAGGAAGACGGGCTCATTGTAATGGCTGGAATGGAATAAATGGAACAGAGTCCAACATGTGGTTTCCATATTTGATCTGTTTGATACCGTTCCATTAATTCCCTTCCAGCCATTACAATGAGCCAGTCCTCCTATAGCTCCTCCCACCAGCCTCCACTGCATTCTATACATTCCAGCATTCTATATATTATTTTTTGCTTTTGTCTTCATCTTATTTAGTGTTCTCTTATATTCTTTATCTTGAAGTGTTTCCATTATTAGTACATGTATTATTATAATCATCTGTTCATTCTTTGTATTTTGAAACATTTGAATAAAATAGGACATCTTTTTCACAAGTCAATTTGGTTTATTGTTGGGGTTTATTTTCGTTGTTGATTTTTTGAAATCTCTCATGTTATTGATTGGAAATGTTGTTGTACAGTGCCTTCAGAAAGTATTCACACCCCTTTACTTTTTCCACATTTTGTTGTTACAAAATGGGATTAAAATTGATTTAATTGTCATTTTGTGGTCAACGATCTACACAAAATACTCTGTAATGTCAAATTGTAAGAAAAATTCTTACATTTGTTAAAACAAATATGAAAAATACAACACAAACATATCTTGATTAGATATGTATACAACCCACTGAGTCAATACATGTTAGAAACCCCTTTGGTAGCGATTACAGCTGTGGAGTCTTGCTGGGTAAGTCTCTACACACCTGGAATGTGCAACATTTGCCCATTATTCTTTTAAAAATGATTCAAGCTCTATCAACTTAGTAGTTGATCATTGCTAGACATGCCATAGATTTTCAAGCAGATTTAAGTCAAAACTCGGCCACTCGGGAACATTCCGTTTTCTTGGTAAGCGACTCCAAAAGTATTCATCCCCCTTGGTGTTTTTCCTATTTTGTTGCATTAGAACCTGTAATTTCAATAGATTTTTATTTGGATTTCATGTAATGGACATACACAAAATAGTCAAAATTGGTGAAGTGAAGTGAAAAAAATAACTTGTTTAAAAAAATTCTAAAAAATAATTTACGGAAAAGTGGTGCGTGCATATGTATTCACCCCCTTTTCTATGAAGCCCCTAAATAAGATCTGGTGCAACCAATTACCTTCGGAAATCACATAATTAGTTAAATAAAGTCCACCTGTGTGCAATCTAAGTGTCACATGATCTGTCACATGATCTCAGTATATATACACACCTGTTCTGAAAGGCCCCAGAGTCTGCAACACCACTAAGCAAGGGGCACCACCAAGCAAGCGGCACCATGAGGACCAAGGAGCTCTCCTAACAGGTCAGGGACAAAGTTGTGGAGAAGTACAGATAAGGGTTGGGATATAAAAAAATATCAGAAACTTTGAACATCCCACGGAGCACCATTAAATCCATTGTTAAAAAATGGAACAAATATGGCACCACAACAAACCTGCCAAGAGAGGGCCGCCCACCAAAACTCACGGACCAGGCAAGGAGGGCATCAATCCGAGAGGCAACAAAGAGACCAAAGATAACCCTGAAGGAGCTGTAAAGATCCACAGCGGAGATTGGAGTATCTGTCCATCGGACCACTTTAAGCCGTACACTCCACAGAGCTGGGCTTTAACGGAAGAGTGGCCAGAAAAAGCCATTGCTTAAAGAAACAAATAAGCAAACACGTTTGGTGCTCGCCAAAAGGCATGTGGGAGACTCCCCAAACATATGGAAGAAGGTACTCTGGTCAGATGAGACTAAAATTGAGCTTTTTGGCCATCAAGGAAAATGCTATGGCTGGTGCAAACCCAACACCTCATCACCCCGAGAACACCATCCCCACAGTGAAGCATGGTGGTGGCAGCATCATGCTGTGGGGATGTTTTTTATCGGCAGGGACTGGGAAACTGGTCAGAATTATAGGAATGATGGATGGCGCTAAATACAGGGAAATTCTTGAGGGAAACCTGTTTCAGTCTTCCAGAGTTTTGAGACTGGGACGGAGGTTCACCTTCCAGCAGGACAATGACCCTAAGCATACTGCTAAAGCAACACTCGAGTGGTTTAAGCTTATAGAGACATACCCCAAGAGACCTGCAGCTGTAATTGCTGCAAAGGTTGTCGCTACAAAATATTGACTTCGGGGGGGTGAATAGTTATGCATGCTCAAGTTCTGTTTTTTGTGTCTTATTTCTTGTTTGTTTCACAAGAAAACAACATATTTTTGCATCTTCAAAGTGGTAGGTATGTTGTATAAATCAAATGATACAAACCCCCCAAAAATCAATTTTCATTCCAGGTTGTAAGGCAACAAAATAGGAAAAATGCCAAAAGGGGGTGAATACTTGCGCAAGCCACTGTAGATTTGCCCTTGTGTTGTTGTTATTGATTATAAATGTTATATTGATTATGATGTAGATTATTGTTATGATGTTGTTAGTAGTATAGAGATAATGATGTTGATTATAAATGTTATGATATTGATTAGGATGTAGATTATTGTTATGTTGTTAGTAGTATATAGATTGTTATTTATTATAAATGTTATATTGATTGATGTAGATTGTTGTTAGTAGTATATAGATAATGTTATTGATTATAAATGTTATGATATTGATTATGATGTAGATTATTTGTTATGTTGTTAGTAGTATATAGAGATAATGATGTTATTCTCTTATGATCTGTGGGTTACAGAGAAAGTATAGTACTTAGTACAGGTCTGATATACAATAGATTGTGTGGAAATGCTGTGCGCATATGTAATAATTAAATAATTCAACCAACCAATCACTCAATAAGTTATGTAAATAAATATTGTATTTAGAATTGCAGAAGTCTGGTAACTTTCCCAAAATTCTAAAATGTTACACAAAAACACCTCTTGGTTGTTTTGACAACATGGATACTTATTGTAAGTGTAGAGCAGGCTTGCTCAAGACAGAATTTTTCTTGATGATCATTTGGGAGTGAGTGAGTCAGGGCAACGTCTGACCTACACAGGAGAAATAAAACAGAATACACCGATAACAAAAAGTTTATTTTGTTAGTTTTTTTAAATAAAAACCTCCTGAGATATCATACAGCTCATCTCAGCTTTCACATTAGAACCCAAATAAGAGAAGAAGAAAAACAGGAGTAAAGAAGGAAAAATAAAGAAAAACAAACTGAAAACATCTGTCACTCATACTGCACTCCTGGTAACCTTTTGACCTCATGTCACCGTGGGCAACAGTCTTCATCTGACCTTTAAGGGAGTATTGACCAATTCCAAATGAGCCTCCATTTAACATTTTAGTCATTTAGCAGACGCTCTTATCCAGAGCGACTTACAGTTAGTGAGTACATACATTTTCATACTGGCCCCCCCGTGGGAAACGAACCCACAACCCTGGCGTCGCAAACGCCATGCTCTACCAACTGTCCCTAGCCCCTAGGCACTTCATGTAGATCTGAAAGGATTGGATAGGTAAAAGCAATATGGTAGTAGTTCCATCTTACCATCTCATAAACCTGCTGGAATTAGTACCATTAGTTTATTCCCATCAACACCTTTGAGTGCCTAGGGGTCAGGGACTGGGGGTCAAATAACAGTTGGGGGGGGCAAATACTAGACAAGCATTACAGTTTTCGCCCAGGTTGCTCTGTCACACACTTAACACAAGTTTGCCAGTAACAGTAACGGTCCTGTTTGGGTCCAAGCTGCCCCTCTAAGCACAGGTCCCAGATCAGCTTACCAGGCCCGACGTTCAAACTTTTAACCAGTAACGTTATATAAAACATGATCTGACCCCAAATCTGTGGCTAAAGGAAAGCACCCAAGTGTATCCATAGGCGGCGGCCCAAATTGTACCCTATTCCCTATGTAGTGCACTACTTCTGACCAGAACCCTATGGGCCCTAGATCACTATATAGGGAACAGGGTCCCATTTAGGACAGACATAGGGCTACTGTACCCAGTCATCCAGCCGATCCCACAGCCCCTCATACCTTATCTTTAATACATTTGTGTTATCGTTCTTCTAAATGAGTTATTTTTTTTAAAAACCTGATGGGAGATCAGTGGATCCAGGGTGTACCAGTCAGTCAGAACTTCATCACAGCAGCCTGGAAACACTCTCTCACTCTCCTCTCACAGAAACAGACCAAGCACTGCGTCTCAAATGGCACTCCATTTCCCTTCGCAGTGCACTGAAATAGTCTACATAGGGAATAGGGTGCAATTTGGGACAGTCCTATGTTGTTTGTCATAGTCTCATCTGTCAGGAACACAGTTCTCCATCTCCTCTCAGAAAAAATACCAACTGTTGTTGTTCATTACATAAACAGTCTTGTCTCATCGGTCTGTCGGTCTTTTTCTTTTTTTTTTTTTACAAAACTCTTTGATAACAGTTGATGATAGTGTTTGTTGATGCTGTATTTTCAGTTAAGAGTTAGAGAGCAGTCAGTCAGCAAGATAAAAAAATAAAATGGCAATTTCATCCTCTTCCTCTTTTATTCCCCTCCTCTTCCTCCTCCTCCTCCTCCTCCTCCACACACAGTCCTAGTTCGCCACATCGGAGACAGAGAGAGACGAACCGAACCGAGCCAAAGCCCAAGCAAAGGAGAAACAAACCCTCTTCCACTACTTCAACTTTCCAACAGTGGCTACAAAATGGCGTCCGGTCGACTTGGTGTCCCCCGAGGCTCGGTGCTTGGCACCTTCTGTTTCTCCACCAACCGCAAGGCAGCTCACATGTCATTGGCCAGCTCCTCGGTCTCTGTGGAGACGTCGCCATTGGCGATCTTGGTGTTCTCCTCGTAGCCCGCGGGCATGAAGGCTAGCGTGTATGGGAAGAGCCTGTGACACTCCGCGCGGTAAGACTCCGCCCGCTCTTTTGACTCGCCCAATCCGCCATTCCGTAGCGCCTCTAGCACCTCTGTGCAGATCTGATAGGAGGATGAGGAGCGAGAAAGGCATTATAGGTCAATTATGTCATCAATGGTTTTGGTTATCGTTTCTACATTCTGTTCTGATGCTCTGTTTTTATATTCAGAAAATCTCATTACAAATAATGTTATCAAAAGAAGGATTCATTATAGAAAAACTCTGCATCGTTAAATATGATATGAAAACGTCTGGTTGTTCGCTAGCAACGTAAATTAACAACCCAACCCACTAGATGACAGCAAAACAACGTATTTATTTTGACAGATTGCCATTCACAAAACCAAGCCACACAAAGACCAAACAATCACACACACGTACCGTGATACTCCTGTTGCTGAGTGACTCGTCTAGTGACGTGGCCAGCTCCACAGCTTTGGTTTCTGTAGAAGAGTCCAGACACACCATCATTTTGGCCGCTGCAGGAGAAGAGAGGGGGAAGAAGAGAGAGAGAGAGAGAGAGGAGGAAGAGTGAGGCCTGGGGCGCATTCAGCAGGACAAAACGTTTTGGAACGTTCAGATATAAATATGTTACGTAGAACAAACATGCCTCTCCGACATGTAGAACAAGGAATCTTGTCGGTTCTATTCATGGCATTTCTCTCTGCAACGTTCAACAACGTTTGGCAACTGAGTTTGTGTGTTCCCCCTACCTGCCACTCTGTGTGGTACGGAGTCAGAGTGCTTGGAGAGGAAGACCTGGTTATAGGTGCTAGCGTTGCTGTCTCCAAACAGCCTAGTGATCTCCTGCTTCAGTACCGTACGCACTGCCTCCGCTAGGTCTTTAGACTCAGAGACTGGAGAGAGGAGAGGGGAGAGAGGAGAGAGAGAGAGAGAGAGAGAGAGAGAGACAGAGAGACAGAGAGACAGAGAGACAGAGAGACAGAGAGACAGACAGACAGACAGACAGACAGACAGACAGACAGACAGACAGACAGACAGACAGACAGAGACAGCGATAGAGGGAGAGAGAGAGAGACACAGAGAGAGAGAGAGAGAGAGAGAGAGCGAGAGAGACAGAGAGAGAGACAGAGAGAGAGACAGAGAGAGACCGAGACAGACAGAGAGAGAGAGAGAATATTGTGTATTCTTTATCACTTTAACCATTGTTTCTTCCCCAAGGCCTTATTCCACTAACTCTGTTCACATCATCAATAAAAATCTACTCCACTAAAATGTCTATTAGTATAACTGGGTTAGTTTGGGCTAAGTGTTCACTCCTCACCTCCCTTGAAGAAGCGTACTAAACACTGGTGCAGCCAGGGATGGTGTGGATCTATGGACAACGCTCTCTTCACTGACTGAAGCATCAACAGGTACTTGGCTACAGAGAGGAGAGGGACAGATAATTTACATGGAGACAATAAACAAGGTCAAATCCAGAGGGATCAAACTGTCTTTATTATCATATGATGTCTGAGCAAAGCATTTAGTTTTCCTGTAAGCCCTGGGAAGATTACTACCCTGCTGGTTTGTGGTACCTTTCCTGAAGTAAATCTCGAAGGCCAGTAGATGTGTATCGATCCTGTCTTTAACGAGGTTCTTTAGTGGGGTCAGGAACTTGACTGCCTCCTCCAGTGGGTTTTCTACCTGAGAGGAGAAAGAACTAGATGTTACACACAGACACACACAGGGAAAAAAACACACACACACACACACACACACACACACACACACACACACAGGGAAAAAAACACACACACAGGGACACACACACAGGGACACACACACACAGGGACACACACACAGGGACACACACACAGGGACACACACACACAGGGACACACACACAGGGACACACACACAGGGACACACACACAGGGACACACACACAGGGACACACACACAGAGACACACACACAGGGACACACACACACACACACACACAGGGAAAAACACACACACACAGGGACACACACACACACACAGGGAAAAATACACACACACACACACACACACACACAGGGACACACACAGTATTGTACAGCTAACCTTGTGGGGACACACAATTCAGTCCCATTCAAAATCCTATTTTCTCTAACCCTAACCCTAAACACTAATTCTAACCTTAACCCTAAACCCCCTAGAAATAGCATTTGACCTGGTGGGGACCACGCACAGCGCCAGTTTCTCCCCCTCTCTTACACAGGGCCCTACCTTGGCCAGTTGCTCTGGTACCAGCTCCTCCTTAGGTCCCCCGATCTCCTCATCATCCTCCTCTTTCTTCTTCTTCTGGTTCTTCAGTTGTTTCTCCTTCTCTGCATTCTTCTTCTCCTCCTCTAGCTGGGCTTTCTTCTGAGCTCTCCTCTGCTTGTTCTTCAACTTCTTCAGATCCTTGTCTGACAGGTTGGCTGTAGAACAGAGAATGAGAATAGAGTTTTAGAATAGAGTTTTAGTAGAATAGAGTTCTATTGACAGGTTGGCTGTAGAACAGAGAATGAGAATAGAGTTTTAGAATAGAGTTTTAGTAGAATAGAGTTCTATTGACAGGTTGGCTGTAGAACAGAGAATGAGAATAGAGTTTTAGAATAGAGTTTTAGTAGAGTAGAGTTCTATTGACAGGTTGGCTGGAGAACAGAGGATCAAACATTAGATGAAGACATGAGAAATCAACACATCCACAGAACAGAAAGAATACATGTTGTTGTTGTTGACTGGTGAACTTCGACATACGCTCCTGACACAAGCCTTACTCCAGACTCCAGATTCACTCACAAACAGGTCAAAATCTCCAAGTTGAGCGCTCTTTACTCCCCACACAGTGTGATCCCAACACAGTCTCCACACCCACCCACCTGATTCAGCCTGTAGTCCCTGGCTGTGGTCAGTCAGGGGGTTGTCGTGTAGACTGAGGTATATAGTGATGGCAGTGTGGGCAGCCTTGCTGTAGAAGGGATGCATCCGGAGAACATCCTCCAGCTTCAGCAGGTCCACGTAGGAACACAGTGTCATCTTCCTCATACAGTATGTGTGGAAGTCAAACTGGTCGTCTGTGATCTCCACAAAATGCTGATGGGACACAGAGGTATACAACACAAGGGTAAGTCAGGATATCCACTGAATGTGAGATCGGTTATATATATATTAAAACAGATACACCACCCCGTTCACGAAAATGGATCACTCCTACAGAGTGAGTCACGTGGCCTTGGCTTGCTATATAAAGCAGGCAGACAGGCATCCAGTTACTGCTGGATTGAACGTTAGAATGGGCAACCTAAGCGACTTTGAGCGTGGTATGATCGTCGGTACCAGGCGTGCCGGTTCCAGTATCTCAGAAACGTCCGGCCTCCTGGGATTTTCACACACGACAGTGTCTAGAGTTTACCGAGAATGGTGCGACAAACAAAAAACATCCAGTCAGCGGCAGTCCTGTGGGCGAAAGGTGAGAGGTCGAAGGAGAATGGCAAGAATCGTGTAAGCTAACAGGCGGGCCACAAACAGGCAAATAACGGAGCAGTACGGCGTCTCGGAGCGCACAACTCGTCGATCCTTGTCACGGATGGGCTACTGCAGCAGACGACCACACCGGGTTCCACTCCTATCAGCTAAAAACAACAAGAAGCCACTCCAGTGGGCACGCCATCACCAACACTGGACAATTGAGGAGTGGAAAAACATTGTCTGGAACATGACAGCGAGTTCACTTTACTTGAGTGAACCGCCGTCCAAATCAGCAGAAACTGCGTGATGCCATCGCGTCAGCATGGACCAAGATCCTTGTGGATCGTTTCCGACACCTTGTAAAATGCCCCGAAGAATTAAGGCTGTTCTTGAGGCAAAGGGTGGTCCGACCTGGTACTAACTGGGTGTACCTAATAGACTGAGTGACTGTATGCGTGAAGGGGAAACTGATCTCCACAAAATACTGATGGGACGGACAGAAGAGGAGGGGGGGTTAGGGTGAGGACATCAGAAGAGGAGGGGGGGTTGGGGTGAGGTCATCAGAAGAGGAGGGGGGGGTTAGGGTGAGGACATCAGAAGAGGAGGGGGGGTTGGGGTGAGGTCATCAGAAGAGGAGGGGGGGTTGGGGTGAGGACATCAGAAGAGGAGGGGGGGTTAGGGTGAGGTCATCAGAAGAGGAGGGGGGGTTAGGGTGAGGACATCAGAAGAGGAGGGGGGGTTAGGGTGAGGTCATCAGAAGAGGAGGGGGGGTTAGGGTGAGGACATCAGAAGAGGAGGGGGGGGTTGGGGTGAGGTCATCAGAAGAGGAGGGGGGGGGTTAGGGTGAGGACATCAGAAGAGGAGGGGGGGTTGGGTTGAGGTCATCAGAAGAGGAGGGGGGGTTGGGGTGAGGACATCAGAAGAGGAGGGGGGGTTAGGGTGAGGTCATCAGAAGAGGAGGGGGGGTTGGGGTGAGGCCATCAGAAGAGGAGGGGGGGTTAGGGTGAGGACATCAGAAGAGGAGGGGGGGTTAGGGTGAGGACATCAGAAGAGGAGGGGGGGTTAGGGTGAGGACATCAGAAGAGGAGGAGGGGTTAGGGTGAGGTCATCAGAAGGAAGACTGGTCCTTCAGTGAATGCACGGTAGGTACTCACCCTCTCGATCTCGTGGCACTTCTTGAGCGCGTCTCCGTATTTGTTCATGGACTTGTAGGCCAGAGCACACTCAGTCTGGTACCACATACACTGCATCTCATTCAGGTTCTCTACCGCAGACGCACCCTCCTACAGAGAGAGAGACAGAGACAGAGAGAGAGAGAGAGAGAAAGAGAGAGAAAGAGACAGACACAGAGACAGAGACAGAGACAGAGAGAGAGACAGAGAGAGACAGAGAGAGAGAGAGACAGAGAGAGACAGAGACAGACACAGAGACAGACACAGAGAGAGAGAGAGAGAGAGAGAGAGAGAGAGAGAGACAGAGAGAGAGAGAGAGCGAGAGAGAGACAGAGACAGAGACAGAGACAGAGACAGAGAGAGAGCGCGAGAGAGAGAGAAGGAGCGAGAGAGAGACAGAGACAGAGACAGAGACAGAGACAGAGAGAGAGCGCGAGAGAGAGAGAGACTGGGGGTTAGAATACACGTACAGTAGCACACACAGACAGACAGACACACACACTGACCCGTGTGAACTTGGAGCACATCTCCTCAGCCTCTTTGACCAGGCCGGCCTTCAGCATGTACTTGGCACATTTAGAGTTGATGAATCGGTCAGCCGTGTCTAGAGCCTGGGCCTCATCCATCCACTGGGCTGCCTCCTTTATGTTCCCTGCATGCTGCAGATGAGACACAGAGGGGCAAAGGTCAAACAACATCATTACAGTTGGTATGGTACAATGGACATGTAGGTTCTAGAATGTTAGTGGAGATGAGGGTTCTAAAAGGTAAGAATGGAGACTGGGGTTCTAGAATGTTAGTGGAGATGAGGGTTCTAAAAGGTAAGAATGGAGACTGGGGTTCTAGAATGTTAGTGGAGATGAGGGTTCTAAAAAGTAAGAATGGAGACGGGGGTTCTAGAATGTTAGTGGAGATGAGGGTTCTAAAAGGTAAGAATGGAGACTGGGGTTCTAGAATGTTAGTGGAGATGAGGGTTCTAAAAAGTAAGAATGGAGACGGGGGTTCTAGAATGTTAGTGGAGATGAGGGTTCTAAAAGGTAAGAATGGAGACTGGGGTTCTAGAATGTTAGTGGAGATGAGGGTTCTAAAAGGTAAGAATGGAGACTGGGGCTCTAGAATGTTCTGAGGATTAGCCTATTCCAAACAGACTCTGGGACAGTTGTGGGTTGAAAGATCCCAAATTCATACAACCAGTAGGCAAATGCTACACAAAAAAACCTGTTAAAAACCATTGAGTCTGATGCAACAGATCAGAACCTTTAGCTTAAAATGTTGATTAACTATTATTTCTTCACATTATCAGCACAGCAATGTGCACAGGGCAGTAGGCTACATGTGAATGTTCCTTCCATAATGCATTTAGCAGGAAAACACACTTGTCAAAAGCGCACTGCACATGCGAGCGGTTTCATATGACAGAGATGAAAATATCTGTTAGAAATTAAGAAAGAGGGGAGATCTAATATGCAACATCTAGCATGGGTTGCTAACATGACTAGGATTGTGCCTTTGGCTACTGGACAATGCAAGAAAGTTGATATAAAATAATTGCCTCCGCGGACATGGTCTGATTTTGGCTAGGCTACTTTGAAGCAAGGTAAAACATGCCTGATAATATGTAGTAAAACATTCAGGTTTCATTTATGTCATTTAGCAGACGCTCTTATCCAGAGAGACTTAAAGTTAGTGCGTTCATCTTAAGATAGCTAGCTGGGACCACCACATATCTCAGTCATAGTAAGTACATTTTCCTCAAAGTAGTTATCAGCAAAGTCAGAGCCTCTTTAAAATATGTTTTAAAAATGCATACTGTCTCCAGCTCATTGCAAAGTGGTGTGTGACGCGCTGATGAAGCCTGACTACGCATTTGCTGTTTGAGATGCTGTCTGACAAATATTCCGCTCAAAGGCTCTCCATCTGTATGATACACGCGTGTGATAAATACGATACATTACAAATATACTGAACACACACGCCAATTTAATTCCACTAAATTATGTAAATGGACCTATAGACGGCTAAGCATGACGAGTCAAATGTATTTCCATCGACTGGTATTTTCATCAATGAATATGCTAAAATGCCAGACAATTGACCGGAGACAATTTTATTTATCTGCTTTATATATTTTTTGGAGCCAAAAGCCGGCTATTACCTGCTAACAGAAACCCTGGTGTCAGGAGGGATCTAGAATGTGAAAAGGGTTCTATATAATGTTAGGAAGGTTCTAAAATGTTCAGCAGATTCGAGAATGTTAGGAGGGTCCTAGAATGTTAGGAGGGTCCTAGAATGTTAGGAGGAATCTAGAATGTTAGGAGGAATGTAGAATGTTAGGAGGAATGTAGAATGTTAGACAATCTGTGTGTGTGTGTGTGTGTTACCTACCTTGTATATCTTGGCCTTGATAAGGAATAGTTCTATGAGAGTGGGCGTGCTCTCGATGGCCGTGTTGATGTACTCCAGAGCCAGTGTCTGCTGGCCAATCATATTGTAGTGCTGCGCCAGGAAGTACTGTACCCATAGCAATGTGGTGGGAGGCTCCTCCTTACCATCATCTGAGGCAACCAATCAGATCGTCTTATCATTCAGTCGCCTCACAATAACAATCACTTTTCATATCATTCACTCAAAGTGTTACTAAAGTTATATTTTAATGAAACAAAGACTACTTGAATACTCACCATTCTGATTGAACATTCTGCAGCTATTTAACGATGTTTCATATCCAACTACTAACTCCTCAATTATTGATACCTACAAAGAAAATACAGACAAACAGTAGTAATTATTAAACCTGCTGCTGTGTGAGATACAAACTCTATTTATTAAGTTGGTTCTCAGTGGTCATATACTCTGTTTCTATGTTGTTTCTCCTCACCTTTACTTTGTCATGGTAGAGTGACTTGACAGTGGTGAAGGTGGGCGGACAGCCTTTACTGAAGTTCATCCTCAGATACCTGTCCAGACACTCCCTGAACTTCTCCCCTAGAGACAGAACATATTGTGGTTACTACTTCTCCCCTAGAGACAGAACATATTGTGGTTACTACTTCTCCCTTAGAGAGACAGAACATATTGTGGTTACTACTTCTCCCCTAGAGACAGAGACAGAACATTAAGAGAACATATTGTGATTGAACGATAATGATTTTGGTGGTCTGATTTGAAGGATAAAGAGAAGAGATAAGAAGAGGCTAAAGTGTATTTCAGATTTTCTGAGGTAAGAAAACAATACATTTCTGAGTTGGTGTGGTTGTTGGTACCAGAGAGGAAGGTGAGGGGTAGTCGTCTGGGCACCAGTCCTTTAGGATACTTCACCCAGGCGTCCTCATAGATCTTCTGCCGATCCTCTACACTGCCTGGATCACACAGACAGAGAAAACAAACAATTATGATCATCAGGAAAACAGGGGAAAGTGGTTTGCCTATTTTAATATGATCTCTGAGTCTAAAACGGAGACTGCATTAATAGACTGAATTATGTAGCCCATCACTGGTTATAACAGTGTTATGTAGGGCTGGTTATAACAGTGAGAACCCCTAATGCAGAGTATATGAAGCGTACCAGGCTTCAGGGCCTTCTCCAGGCTGTGGTAGTAGGACCTGTTATAACAGTGTTATGTAGGGTATATGTAGCGTACCAGGCTTCAGGGCCTTCTCCAGGCCGTGGTAGTAGGACCAGTTATAACAGTGTTATGTAGGGTATATGTAGCGTACCAGGCTTCAGGGCCTTCTCCAGGCCGTGGTAGTAGGACCAGTTATAACAGTGTTATGTAGGGTATATGAAGCGTACCAGGCTTCAGGGCCTTCTCCAGGCCGTGGTAGTATGACCAGTTATAACAGTGTTATGTAGGGTATATGTAGCGTACCAGGCTTCAGGGCCTTCTCTAGGCCGTGGTAGTAGGACCAGTTATAACAGTGTTATGTAGGGTATATGTAGCGTACCAGGCTTCAGGGCCTTCTCCAGGCCGTGGTAGTAGGACCAGTTATAACAGTGTTATGTAGGGTAGAGGGTATATGTAGCGTACCAGGCTTCAGGGCCTTCTCCAGGCCGTGGTAGTAGGACCAGTTATAACAGTGTTATGTAGGGTATATGTAGCGTACCAGGCTTCAGGGCCTTCTCCAGGCCGTGGTAGTAGGACCAGTTATAACAGTGTTATGTAGGGTATATGTAGCGTACCAGGCTTCAGGGCCTTCTCCAGGCCGTGGTAGTAGGACCAGTTCTCAGGGTTTCTCTCCTGTAGACGGCGGTAGACCTCTGTAGCGTCATCCAGACGATCCAGTTTCAAAAACAACTCTCCTACAGGGGGAATACACTGTTAGAGATCTCTGTGTGTGTGTCCGTGGTGTGAGTGAGAGACAGAGATAGTGAGAGGCTTCTGTCTTGGTTTCTTTGTGGATCCAAATACAGAAATCAAATGTGTGTGATGGTTGCAGACACACACAAACACACACCTCGTGTCTCCTCGACAGCCAGTTTGTCACAGATCTGTTTCTCGTAGGTGGTGAGGTGGTCCAGAGCTTCCCTGTAGAAACCAGCCTCCCTCAGCACCTGGTTCTGGTACAGCAGGAGCTCACTGTACTCATAGTCCACCTTGTCTGGAGACGTCTAGGAGAGAGAGGTTATAACAGGGTAACGTAGCGTCTATGGTTCTGATAGAGCAGCAGCTTGCTGTCCTCATGGGGGGGGGAAGGTCAAATAAAATAGGAGAGAGATGGAGAAAGAGAGGGGAGGAGAGGAGAGTGATACATCTTTACATAGGGTACCACCTCAGTAGAAATCGCACCGCGGACTCTAGGCAGGAGCGGGTTGTACGTTATCAGGTTATGGTCGTGAGCACTGCCACTGTGTCTTGGGGATCCTAAAGAACATGGAACGGAACAGATTACTCTTTACTAGGGCACCACCTAGTAGCTGACGCGACTAGCTACTGTGTCGTACCAGGACCTAGCTTTACTGTGTCGTACCGCGACCCTAGCTTTACGTGTCGACCGTAGCCTAGCTTACTGTCGTCGTACCTAGCTTATGGCGTGCCTACTAGCTTTACTGTGTCGTACCGCGACCTAGCTTTACTGTGTCGTACCGCGACCTAGCTTTACTGTGTCGTACCGTACTAGCTTTACTGTGTCGTACCGCTACCTAGCCTTACTGTGTCGTTGCGCGACCTAGCTTTACTGTGTCGTACCGCGACCTAGCTTTACTGTGTCGTACCGCGACCTAGCCTTTACTGTGTCGTACGCGACCTAGCCTTACTGTGTCGTCGCGACCTAGCTTATGTGTCGTACGCACCTAGCCTTACTGTGTCGTTGCGCGACCTAGCCTTACTGTGTCGTACCGCGACCTAGCTTTACTGTGTCGTTGCGCGACCTAGCCTTACTGTGTCGTACCGTGACCTAGCTTTACTGTGTCGTACCTAGCTTACTGTGTCGTACCGCGAGCTAGCTTTACTGTGTCGTACCGTTAGCTAGCTTTACTGTGTCGTACCGTTAGCTAGCTTTACTGTGTCGTACCGTTAGCTAGCTTTACTGTGTCGTACCGTTAGCTAGCTTTACTGTGTCGTACCGTTAGCTAGCTTTACTGTGTCGTACAGTTTGCTAGCTTTACTGTGTCGTACCGTTAGCTAGCTTTACTGTGTCGTACCGTTAGCTAGCTTTACTGTGTCGTACCGTTAGCTAGCTTTACTGTGTCGTACCGTTAGCTAAGCTTTACTGTAACTCAGACACACCCAGACCCTGAACTGATGAGGGAAAACACTTTGTTGTGAGTTGTAGTCATGAATTGTGCTGAATGCTCCTACTGTTGTACTAGAGCAGTGGTTTCCTCCCCTTGTCTCCTTTCCTTGCTCTCTACTGATCAGATAGAACTGAACTGATCAATGAAACACTATGCCTGGTAAAGGCATGCAGGATATTACTGCCACCTTTACTACGTTCACGTCGTTATTGTAAAAGAGAATACGTTCTCAATGACTTACCTGGTTAAATAAAGCCAAAATAAATGAAGAAATACATGTTGTTTTCAGAAACAAGGAGAGGAAGCCATTTTGGATTAGTGGTGTGAACGGTGAACCCAGTGTGCACCAAGGACAGACAGACTCAGCCCATAGGTTGGCTTGTCACTGGACCTACTGTACCTGTTGTGTTTTCCTGAACTCCTCCACTATCTTGGCGGCCATCTCGTAGTCCTCTAGGAGGTGATAGGCGATGGCGTAGCCGATCCACGAGGCCCTCTGGGCCGGCCGCAGCTGCAGCAGCTGGTACCTCGTCTCCTATAGGGGGACAAGGAGAAGTTAGCCGTTAGCTTAGCATAGTGCGCTAGTCGCCCATAGGGACACAATGAGAGAGGGGCTAGCAATTTAGCGGTTAGCTTAGCATCAAGTTCCTGTTCCTATACTTTTAAAATGGATTCTTCTTTTCTCCCCTCCGTGAAGTAACCTGATCACACCAACGAGAAAACACAGGGAGCAGAAAGAGACAGAATAAAAAGAGAAGTTGACAGAGGAGGAAGCAGGTTTATGTTTCTGCTGAGTCATGTTGCCAATGCTAGACTCTGCTCGGCACACTTCTGCTCTGCCACACTCTGTGCTTGCTTGGTATTTTATGTGTCACATGGATAACTAAAGAGCTACATTGCCTTCCAAGAGACCTGGTGTAAATCAAGGTAGTTAACTAGGACCTGATGTCTGTGACACAGCGTGTTCTTAATGAATGGATCTCCTGAGGCAGTAGGGACAGGTTTCTCCTTCCCTCACCCTCCTCCCTCCCGCCCTCCTCACCCTGTAGCCCTCCAGGTCTCTCATCTGGATCTGTAGTAGTGACAGGTCTCGTAGGATCTGCAGGTTTTCTTTGTCCCACTTCAGGGCGTTCCTGTAACACTTGATGGCCTCGTCGTACTTCTTATCAGAGCGCTGCAGCAGACCGTACACATGCCAGCCTGGGAGACCAGGGGTTAAGGAGACACATGGACGCACAACACAGGATAGACCCACCAACACACACACACACACACACACACACACACACACACACGTATGTATGCACGAACACCACACACATACACGTGGAAAATGCAATCTATATATTATCATTCCATAAGTACCAGAAAGATAATTATTTATAGACATTATAATAGTTGTTATAAAGCTTTGTCCTTCAGCTTCCCGCGTGGGGTGTGTTTCTCAGACCTGGGTTGAAATACTATTTAAAATCTTTCAAATATTTTTGAGTGTCTGTTCTAGCATGCCTAGGGTGCCAGATGGGCGGGTTTGTAGTTTTGCGACTATTCTATTGGTCCATTAAACCAAGCAAGCTCAATCAATCACAGACAAAGTATTATACATGATTTCAAATAGTATTTGAACCCAGGTCTGGTGTTTTGCTTGAACACTCAGGTGTTGGACCTTGACACAGAAACACCAGTGTGTTGATAACAGGCTGTCGGGCTCCCATGTGTGCGTGGTGCAGAGCTGGGGCGATAAACCGGAAAAATTTACACCGACCAACCATATAGAGGACATTTTACTGACAACATTCTAAGTAGTAGTAGTTGTAGTTTTAAAATAAGACATTTACTGGTGCACATTAATGTTATAAACATATCGTTCAATCTCCGTAAATGATATCATACGTAGGACTGGTGGAGTTATGTCGCACATGCAGCTAACAAAAACATATGGAAATGTCTGCTCTACCCAAAATCACAACCAAATAATTGCAGCATTAAGGCAAAAATGGAAGAGGAAAGTGGAAGGGGGAAAAAGTAAGGAACTTGTCTGTCGGCCTTGCATTAAAGAACATAATTGGTTAAAGAAAATTGTGATAAATAAAAAAGTATACCAGTTTAATTTAAGGACCAAAGGATTGACAGCCGTCCCATATAGATTGCAAAATAGTTGGGAAGAGATTGTTGACGTACCGATTCCATGGCATAGTGTTTATGAACTGATACGGAAAACGACGCCGGATTCAAAACATAGAATTGTTCAATTTAAATTATTATACCAAATTCTTGCTACCAATAGAATCTTATTTATCTTCCAAGGTCTGCAGATTTTGCTGTGAAGAGACAGAATCATTCGATCATTTGTTTTGGTACTGTCCATTTGTAGCTTGTTTTTGGACACAGGTCCAGGAATGGCTAAAGGATTGCAATATTTACCTGGAACTAACCTTGCAGATAGCATTACTGGGTGATCTGAAAAGTCATAGTCAATTGATCAATAATATAATAACACTTTTAGCAAAAATGTTTATTTTCAATTTACAATCTGTAGAAACAATGAGAATAGAAGTGTTCAGAACTTTTGTGAAACATTACAGTTGAAAAATATATGGCAAATAGAAATCCTATATGGATGGTGTTAAGAGATAAATGAGTGGTGTTGAATGGAGCTGAAGGATGGGACTAATAACAACTAACAACAACTAATAACAACAAGATAACTAATAATGTAAAGCATACTGTGTCCATAATAACTATATAGGTTATAGGTTGAGAGCTTTTGTGAAAGAGCACAGTTAGAAAGATATGGCATATAGAAGCAAACCGGATGGACATCATGAAAATGATCGGAGAGGTTGAGGGTACAGGAAGTTCAGGAGTAAAAACAAACAAAATAGAATTATTGTAAAATTGACTGTGTCCATAAAATTTATATAGTATGTATAAGCTGGAAGTAGAGGCCTAAGCGTTTTTGTTCACTAGTTTACTCCAATTAGGGAAGGGGTGGTGGGGTTGAAAAGTAATAAAGGGAAATATATATTTTTTAAGGATATATATATATATATATATATATATATATATATATATATATATATATATATATATATATATATATATATATATGTGTGTGTACGTATGTATCTGTTGCAGTGTGTCTGTTGTAGAGTGTATGTTGGAGTGTGTTGCAGTGTGTCTGTTGCAGTGTGTCTGTTGTAGAGTGTCTGTTGTAGAGTGTCTGTTGCAGTGTGTCTGTTGTAGAGTGTCTGTTGGAGTGTGTTGTAGTGCGTCTGTTGCAGTGTGTCTGCTGCAGTGTGTCTGTTGCAGTGTGTTGTAGTGTGTCTGTTGCAGTGTGTCTGTTGCAGTGTGTCTGTTGTAGAGTGTCTGTTGTGGAGTGTGTGGCACTGTGTGTACTGACTGGAGGCTGGGTCTAGCCTGAAATAACACTTATCAGTGCAGGGCCTTATCTGTTGGAAATGTCAGCACAGATTTCAGTCATGCGTCTGTGTGTCTGTGTGTGTGTGTGTGTGTGTGTGTATGTGTGTGTTCGTGGGAGCCAGTCACGGCCCTGTTTTAGAGAGACAAGAGCTCTGCTACGCAATGTCAAACGGGTGAGAGAGTGTGTGTGTGAGTGTGTGTGTGTGTGGTGAAACAGGAAACACCTAATGCCTCTATGTATACACCATCCTCTTCCCTCCTCTCTTCACCTCCCTCTCTCTCTCTCTCTCTCACAGTCAACACACCTACAGTCAACACATCGCAGTCAACACACTCACAGTCAACACACTCACAGTCAACACACACATGCACAGTCAACACACACACAGTGTGTGCAGGTCACGACATTAAAGCTTGTCCGGGACAAGTAACAACAAATAGTCAGGCAAGCAGAATATAGATGTAATTGTCCGAAATATCAAACAATTACTCAGATCAAAATTGGATCAGTGCCTTCTGGATGCACATTTTTTTTCACACTTTTCTCCCAATTTATGCAGCGCGCATCGGAATAGAATTGTATTGCATTGACAGGCACGAGCGGTCTTTTGTTGATATCCCTTGCTAGTTTGTGAGTAGTTGGCCAGTTATAGGTGATTTCTGGTCATCAAACAGGGTTCTGGGAAATTGTGGAGAGAGAGAGCGAGAGAGAGAGAGATTGCAGCAGACTAACTACACAGTCAATTCAAAACATATTGTGTAGCCTGGCTAGTTATCTTGGTAGTTAACTATTTCACTCGCACTCATTTACATTTTACATTTAAGTCATTTAGCAGACGCTCTTATCCAGAGCGACTTACAAATTGGTGCATTCAACTTAGGATAGCCAGTGGGACAACCACATCTTGATCACAGTAAGTACACTTCTTCAAACAAGCAGCTGTGAGCAAAGTCAGTGCAATCAGGGACAACTACATCTCGATCACAATAAGTACATTCCTTTAAACAAGTCAGTGCTAGCAGGTGAAATAAGTCAGGTGTTAGTTTAGACAAAAGACAGTGGTAGTAAAGGGAGGGTAGAAGGATTACTGTTATACTATTCCAGGTATTCCTTAAAGAGGGTTTCAAGTGTCTCATAACCGCAAACGGCCGACATGCATGAACGGGTGAGTTACTCAACCAACGCTACATACTCCTGCAGTAAAACTGCCTCTCACGCGCTCAAAATTGGGCCATGTAATTCTGACAACGTTACAAATATTTTTAAAATAGCCTAATAGACAACTAACTCCCGTGCTGTCAACAAATCTGAAACCTGTATATTTTAACCATATAAGGTTATATTGATAAACATTTATTTGCTAGTTACCTGGCTTTGAAGTAGCCTACCTTAGCCATTTGAAAGTATTTGGTCGTAATTGTAATGTTGCAATATTTTATAGTCTACTAAGTGTGACCAATCATCCTCCAGGAGAGCCTTAAAGGGGCAGTGTCGTATTTCGAGACGGGCTTGACTATGCAGAAAAGCCAATAGACAGAGGATAGACTACATTTCTGTCTGATTCTCTATGGTAATAATAATTAATTCAATTTTGAAAAGTGGTTCCTTGCAACATACAATGATGTAAAAATGGTTTTACAGACCTTTTCTGGAGGAGACAAGTGACTTGATCTTTCAGACAAGTAAAAAAAATGTTTTGTCCTAATTGTGGCTAAAAAGTGAATGTCAAGCCCTGGGGTGTGTGTCCAGGTAGGCATCCAGTTTCAATCACACATCCACACTATTTTACAGGCGTGTTTTAAAGGATACAGACATGACTCTTGAGGTCGTTGCGGAGGCCTCGTCTGACCAGGTCGTAAGCCTCCTCCTTCTTCCCCAGACAGTTCAAGGTTAAACCCTTCATCGCCAGGGTCTCTGTAGGGAGAGAGAGAGAGAGAGAGAGAGAGAGAGAGAGAGAGAGAGAGAGACAATGAGAGGCTTAATAAAGGGGTCTACATCTCACTCAGTCATCAATCAATGATACATTTAGAGGGACACTCCTCCTCCCATCCCTCTATCCCTCCTCCATCCATCCCCCCTACCTCCATGTTCTGTGAACTTGGGGTTGGACAGGATCTGTTTGCAGAACTTGAGTCCGTTTCTGTACTGCTTGTGTTCGTAACATCGCTGGGGAGAGAGAGAGACAGAGAAAATACTTGATCTCCAACAACGACTACTACAACAAATAAGCAAAGAGAAACAACAGTCCATCATTACTTTAAGACATGAAGATCAGTCAATACGGAAAATGTAAAGCACTTTGAAAGTTTCTTCAAGTGCATTCGCAAAAACCATCAAGCGCTACGATGAAACTGGCTCTCATGAGGACCGCCACAGGAAAGGAAGACCCAGAGTTACCTCTGCTGCATAGGATAAGTTCATTAGAGTTACCAGCCTCAGAAATTGCAGCCCAAATAAATGCTTCACAAAGTTCAAATAACAGACACATCTCAACGTCAACTGTTCAGAGGAGACTGCGTGAATCAGGCCTTCATGGTTGAATTGCTGCAAAGAAACCACTACTAAAGGACACCAATAATAAGAAGAGACTTGCTTGGGCCAAGAAACACGAGCAATGGACATTAGACCAGTGGAAATCTGTCCTTTGGTCTGATGAGTCCAAATGTGAGATTTTTGGTTCCAACCGCAGTGTCTTTGTGAGACGCAGAGTAGGTGAACGGATGATCTCTGCATGTGTGGTTCCCACCATGAAGCATGGAGGAGGAGGTGTGATGGTATGGGGGTGCTTTGCTGGTGACACTGTCTGTGATTTATTTAGAATTCAAGGCACACTTAACCAGCATGGCTAACACAGCATTCTGCAGCGATACGCCATCCCATCTGGTTTGCACTTAGTGTGACTATCATTTGTTTTTCTTCAGGACAATGACCCAACACACCTCCAGGCTGTGTAAGGGCTATTTGACCAAGGAGGAGAGTGATGGAGTGCTGTATCAGATGACCTGGCCTCCACAATCACCTGACCTCAACCCAATTGAGATGGTTTGGGATGAGTTGGACCGCAGAGTGAAGGAAAAGCAGCCAACAAGTGCTCAGCATATGTGGGAACTCCTTCAAGACTGTTGGAAAAGCATTCCAGGTGAAGCTGGTTGAGAGAAGTTCAAGAGTGTGCAAAGCTGTCATCTAGGCAAAGGGTGGATACTTTGAAGAATGTCAAATGTAAAATATATTTTGATTTACATTTACATCATTTAGCAGACGCTCTTATCCAGAGCGACTTACAGTTAGTGAGTGCATTCATATTTTTTTTATTTTTATTTTTATCATACTGTCCCCCCGTGGGAATCGAACCCACAACCCTGGCGTTGCAAACGCCATGCTCTACCAACTGAGCTACATCCCTGCCGGCCATTCCCTCCCCTACCCTGGATGACGCTGGGCCAATTGTGCGCCGCCCCATGGGTCTCCCAATCGCGGCCGGCTACGACAGAGCCTTGATTCGAACCAGGATCTCTAGTGGCACAGCTAGTACTGCGATGCAGCGCCTTAGACCACTGCGCCACTCGGGAGATTTGGTTTACACTTTCTTGGTTACTACATGATTCCATATGTGTTATTTCATAGTGTTGATATCTTCACTATTACTCTACAATGTAGAAACTAGTAAAAAATTAAGAAAAACCCTGGAATGAGTGGGTGTGTCTAAACGTTTGACTGGTAATGTATATATTGTTATTTCTATTTTATGATTATATATATATTTGCATAGTTTTCTTTCCCTTTGTCCTGTTGGAGATGAAGAATATCACTGGACCCTGTAATTCCACCTGCAACCCTGTACATGTGACTATTCAACTCATTTCTAATCCATTATGCTGCTACTGCAGACTGGCCTCTCGTGTGTGTGTGTGTGTCAGTCTAAAACACAGCTAAATTACCACCGCTTTCCTCCCAAATAGAAGCTATACTTAGCATCACGTTGTGTTGCTTAATCTCCACAGCTACAGGGGAGGGAGGGAGAGAGGGAGGGAGAGAGGGAGGAAGAGCAGACTGGGAGCTGCTAGCAGAGAGAGGGTGGAAGAACCAGGGAAGAGAGGTAAAGGAGGTGGAAGAGGAGAATGGAGGGAGGCAGGGAGTTGAGGGGGGAGAGAGGGGGGGGGGATAACAGATGGCGCTTCTGTGGCTGCCCTCTGTTAATATCACTAATGGTGACAACACTGAAACCTTTCACATATTCTGCTCACATTAGCTACAATCAAAGTAGAAGAGGCCACTAAGCACAGATCACACACACATACGCACACACACACACACAATCTGAGAGAGAGAAGTCTCACTCTTCAGTCAAAAGTAGGCTATTTGATTGATCTAATCTAAACTAATCACCTACCACAAGCTAAGAGAGAAACGGTACAAGGACAACAGCACATTGAGCAGCGAACGACAGGCCACCTCTGTAGTCAGAACTGGAGGTGGGATGAAGTAGTGGACTGCTGGAACCAAATCAAATGTTATTTAACCAACAATGCAGTTTATAAGAAAAGAAAGGTGTTAAGTAAAAACTAGATAAGTAAAACATTTTTAAAAAGCTAATAATTAAAGAGCAGTAGTAAAATAAAATAACAGTAGGGAGGCTATATACAGGGGGGTACCAGTACAGAGTCAATGTGCAGGGGCACCAGTTAGTCAAGGTAATTGAGGTAATATGTACATGTGGGTAGAGTTAAAGTGACTATGCATAAATAATTAACAGAGTAGCAGCAGCATAAAAGAGGGGGTGGGGGGGCAGTGCAAATAGTCCGGGTAGCCATGATTAGCTGTTCAGGAGTCTTATGGCTTGGGGGTAAAAGCTGTTGAGAAGTATTTTGGACCTAGACTTGGCGCTCCGGTACCGCTTGTCGTGCGCTAGCAGAGAGAACAGTCTATGACTAGGGTGGCTGGAGTCCATGACAATTTTTAGGTCAGTCAGTCAGTCAACTGGTTATAATATTTAATTTAATTTAAATTTAATTTTAATTTAATTTAATATGCCATTTAGCAGACGCTTTTATCCAAAGCGACTTACAATCATGCGTGCATACATTTTTTTTGTGTATGGGTGGTCCCGGGGATCGAACCCACTACCTTGGCGTTACAAGCGCCGTGCTCTACCAGCTGAGCTACAGAGGACCAATTTGAGCTCCTAAAAATATGTTGAGACTACATTCCAGAATGAACTGTCTGTCTGGTCTTATAGGGGGCTTAACATCTAACAGTAACCAACGTGTTCTGTCAAATATCATGTCTCAGTCAGTGGATTAAAGCATGTTGTAGCTAGGTCTTAGTCAGTGGATTAAAGCATGTTGTGGCTAGGTCTTAGTCAGTGGATTAAAGCATGTTGTGGCTAGGTCTTAGTCAGTGGATTAAAGCCTGTTGTGGCTAGGTCTTAGTCAGTGGATTAAAGCATGTTGTGGCTAGGTTTTAGTCAGTGGATTAAAGCATGTTGTGGCTAGGTCTTAGTCAGTGGATTAAAGCATGTTGTGGCTAGGTCTCAGTCAGTGGATTAAAGCATGTTGTGCTAGGTCTTAGTCAGTGGATTAAAGCATGTTGTGGCTAGGTCTTAGTCAGTGGATTAAAGCATGTTGTGCTAGGTCTTAGTCAGTGGATTAAAGCCTGTTGTGGCTAGGTCTTAGTCAGTGGATTAAAGCATGTTGTGGCTAGGTCTTAGTCAGTGGATTAAAGCATGTTGTGGCTAGGTCTTAGTCAGTGGATTAAAGCATGTTGTGGCTAGGTCTTAGTCAGTGGATTAAAGCATGTTGTGGCTAGGTCTTAGTCAGTGGATTAAAGCATGTTGTGGCTAGGTCTTAGTCAGTGGATTAAAGCATGTTGTGGCTAGGTCTTAGGTCTTAGTCAGTGGATTAAAGCATGTTGTGGCTAGGTCTTAGTCAGTGGATTAAAGCATGTTGTGGCTAGGTCTTAGTCAGTGGATTAAAGCATGTTGTGGCTAGGTCTTAGTCAGTGGATTAAAGCATGTTGTGGCTAGGTCTTAGTCAGTGGATTAAAGCATGTTGTGGCTAGGTCTTAGTCAGTGGATTAAAGCATGTTGTGGCTAGGTCTTAGTCAGTGGATTAAAGCATGTTGTGGCTAGGTCTCAGTCAGTGGATTAAAGCATGTTGTGGCTAGGTCTTAGTCAGCGGATTAAAGCATGTTGTGGCTAGGTCTTAGTCAGTGGATTAAAGCATGTTGTGGCTAGGTCTTAGTCAGTGGATTAAAGCATGTTGTGGCTAGGTCTTAGTCAGTGGATTAAAGCATGTTGTGGCTAGGTTTTAGTCAGTAGATTGAAGCATGTTGTAGCTAGGTCTTAGTCAGTGGATTAAAGCATGTTGTGGCTAGGTCTTAGCCTGGGTGCCAGATTGTTTCTTTAGCTTGACAATGACAATATGGAGTAGACAAAAGCACAAACAGATCTGGGACCAGGCTAGCTAGGCCCGTCTCTCGGCCTAGTAGTAGTAGTAGTAGTAGTAGTAGTCTATAGTAACACAAAGTGAGACAGACCCATGATGTGTCAAGACACATTTGGATCCAGACTTCCCTTGTAGCTTTAACGTAACGCTAGTAACCCCAGGCAACGCTTATCCGACACCTTCAACACTTAGCCTGCCTAATCCCTAAAATAACTCTCCCCGCGGTGCTGTGACGGTGCAGAGCAGAGCAGGGTGAGAGACCGGCAGAGAGACAACCCTGTGCTGAGGCTGGGGCACACGCCACGCCAGACACTCACAGTATACGCACAAACCACTAGGCTATACTCCTGGATGGTTTTTACTGCAACACTGTTTAACCACATATCCCTACACAGAATCCTCCACTCACCCTCCATACAGTCCTAGTCTTCTCTCTCTCAACCCTCTCACCCTTCAAGTCTGCAGGCTTTTGCTCCAGCCCTGCTCTAATACACTCAACTGATCAGCTAATCAGCTGCTCATCTCAAGGCTCATCTCATTTCATCTCACAGCTTCTATCTCAAGGCTATCAGACTGTTAAATGGCCATCACTAGCACATTAAAAGGCTGCTGCTGCCTATTGAAATCACTGGCCACTTTAAGAAATGGAACACTAGTCACTTTAATAATGTTTACATATCTTGCACTACTCATCACATATGTATATACTGCATTCTATTCTACTGTATCTTAGTCCAGGCTGCTCTGTCATTGCTTGTCTGTATATGTATATATTCTTAAATCCCATTCCTTACTAGTTTTGTGTGTATTGGGTATATGTTGTGAAATTGTTAGATATTACTTGTTAGATATTACTGCACTGTCGGAGCTAGAAGCACAAGCATTTGGCTACACCCGCTATAACATTTGCTAAACACGTGTATGTGACAAATACAATTTGATTTGATTTGATTAATCAGGACCATGAATAGGCCTAGATGCATCAGGTGTGTTTTAGTACAGTGCTGGGCCGTAACAAAGACCTGCACCGTACCGACCCAGTAGCTCTCCGGAAGGGAATTTGGCCATAGAAATAGAATCAGAACCCACGCTATGTGTGGTGGGTTATCCAGACATCTCTTGCACCTGGTGATTAGTTGAACCCCCCGGTGACCCCAGACAGGTGTTAACCACAGCAGGATGCCACCAGACTCAGACCAGGAAGTACTTATTTGACCACTGTGTGTGTCACAGTAAACCACTCTAGTGCATCGAGGGGCAACTTTGATGGGGGTGGGGGCCACAAAAGATCATAGGTCATCATGAGGGGCTGCAGTTGCTCATGGGTCCTGGTACCCACATCCAACCCCCACCCTCTTGACAGTGGAGAGAAATGATTTATGTTTTAAAGTTAATTTTGTGCAATTCTACACATTTTGCCATGGGGGTGTAGAGAAAATGTTGCAGTTTTAAAGCAAGTTTGCTGCAATTCTACACATTATGTGATGAGGCGGAGAGCCGATTTTGCAGTTTTTTTTACTAATTTCAATTTTACACATTTTGCCATAGGGTGGAGAGAAATATTTGCGGTTTTTAATATGATATCTGAGTGAGACTGACTAACAAAATCAATGGGGGGCCCCCATAACAAGTTTAGCTAGCTGGCCACCAAACGAATTTAGCAATCTACATTTTTTTGCTTACATGGGCTAATTTACTGACTATCAGGTGACTGACATTACAAGAGAAAAAATGCTGATGCACAACCAAATTTCGATATTGCACCTTGTGTATTCTACTATTCTAACTTGTAACAGTAAATTGAGACCCCGACTGAGTTCCCTAAAAACCAAAAGCAGTTGCTAGAGGATTAAGTAAGTAGCTGAAAAGCAAATGTAACCCCTCTTCCAGGATTTATACTGAGAAAGCCAAACTGACCACACCATCCATACATAATATAACATGCTATTGGCAAGGGCTGATCAATATGTGTACTACCATACATCAGTGAGTGACGGGGATGAAATGTGTTCCATAAAAACAGATCATATACATCACAACAGAAAGACTGGTGCGTCAAAAAACAAAAGCTACTTTCTGCTTTCAAAAATTTTCCCACCAGGGTGAGTTGAGTTCAGGACAGGCCAGGCTAGCTAGATGAGCAGCTAACTCTCAGCTGTCATTCAGCAACATAGCTAGTTAGACTATCCAACTAGTAGCAACACTAGTTGGCACAACTTTACAAACACAGTTAGCTAGCAATCACAAAAGCAAGCGCCAAACAGTCTATCCAGCTATGCTAGCACAAGTAGCTAACGTTAGCTGGCTAGTTAGAATCGCTGACATTGGACAATGCTTCATTGTTTGTATGGAAAGCCTATGTATGCCTATTTAGCCAACACATATAGCTAGCCATCTAGCTAAAACATATCATATTTTATTTTACTTAGTTACCTAGCTAGCTACTTAGTTAGCTAGATATCTACAGTAACTAACGTAGTTAGCCAAGACAACTTGTTACTAACTAACTATGCCCAATTTGAAGTTGACCGTTATGGTGCTGAGTAACAGTAGCTAACTAGCTAGTAAACTAATGTACCCCTGATATTAGTTAATTTAGATGTTTTATTGTCACATACACCGGATAGGTGTCGTCAAATGTATAGATTTACAGGGCCACAACTCACTCGTCCAAAAATGTAATATATAACAAATCAAACCAACACAAACGGCAGACGAACGTTACCAAACAGTTGTTGAATGAAGAAACGGGTCTTGGGGAACGTTTCATGATGTTAACGACAAGCTGTTTACTAGACCTAGGATTCCTGGTAGTTAGTTAACTAACGTTAGTGCTGCTAGATAACAATCGTTTAAGCTGCTATGGCTACCTACTGTAGCTAGCTTGTATCAAAGGAGAGCGCTGACAACACACAATGTAGCACCGTGCTTTTGGGACACCACAATCCACATAATAAAACACCCCAACAAAAGGTCTGACTGACAGCGTTTGGTTGAGCTCTGCCCTCATTCAATCGATGATTGCCAACTAGCTAGCCGGCTTACTAAACAGGCGAGGTCGATTGCAGTTGTATTCGTCCTGATGGAGTAACCAAGCACCAGGCAAGGAATATGAAGGTGCCGGTGATATATACAAATTAAAAAGATAGCTACTGTTGCAAAAACAACAACAATAAACTCACCAAAATTCTTTTGAAGAGTGCGTTCTCTTTCGGCGGCAGGGTTATTGTCGGCATTGTTGCGGATGCAATTTAAATTCCCCTCGGATTCAGCACATGGAAACAAAGAGTGATTTAGCTAAATGTGTCGCTGGATTCTCTCTCCTCCTTGTTCACTCCGAGTCACTCTCAGCTCGATTGCTCTGTTTTCGGGCTCTCCTCTCTCACGTGGTCGCAGACAGAAAAGAAGGGGTAGGCCCCCCTTCACAACCCAAAATGGCAGACTAGCTTCTCCTCCCGGTCGAACGAGACCGGTGCATCTGGTCTGTGTGCGCCGTGTGTGTTCGTTCGAGGACGCTTTAGAGCGTACATTTCAGAGGGCTAAATGTACACTAATATTGATAATGTCAACAATGCAACTGTAAATGTTTGGGTTGTTGTCTGACTATGTGCAGCAGCAATAGGCCTACTTGCTGATGAGGATTTGTTGTGCATGTTTGAATGGGTAGGGGACTGGCAAGTAGGCCTCAAGCTGTTATTCCATCCTAAATCAAAGAATAGGTATACTTTTCCCCTAATACTAACCATTCAAACATGCACAACAAACCATTATCAAGTAGGCCTATTTTGATGTAGGATATAAAAACACCACCATCCCAAAAAATAAATATAGCCAACAATCAACACATTTGATCACCTTATTTGTTAAATAGGCTGTAGATCTGATCGGTTCAGACAGACTGGTTTGTCTACCTGACATTTTGTACAGTTTCAATAACTTGACACAAGAGGGCACAATAGCAGTACAAAACAAGAAAAACCTTACCCTTGCACCCGTGAAGTGACGGGAGAAACCATCAGACTGTACTGAGTGCGTGAGCACTGAGCAAGCTACTTGACCAGGAGAGTTTGTTTGAGTTTAGAGAGAAGAGGAAGTGGAAAAGAGAGAACGACTGAAAGCGATACTCTCTCTCTGTGTGTGTGTGTGTGTGTCTGTGTTATTTATTGGCTGTGCAGAGGGCTAGTCACATCTCCCGTGTTCTGTAGGGTTATCTGGTGGCCTCCTCCTCCTCTACAGCTCACACTGGTGCTTCTGCATTAATCATACTGCTACTGATACGCACTACAGACAGGACTCTACACACACTCTCTCTTCCTCCTCCTGTAGTCTTTCTCTCCTGTCCCTCTTCTCTCACACTCACTCTCTTTTCCTCACTCCTGAAGAGCTCACTCTCTTTCCCTCTCTTTCTTCCCTCCAACTATTCTTTCCTCCTCCCCCTCTCTTAATATAGAATAATAATATACAATATAATATACAACAATATAATAATAATATTCAATATAATATAATATATAACAATATAATAATAATATAACAATATTATAATATAATATACAGTCATATATAATATATAAATGCCATATATTTTCTCCCACTCTGTCTCTTGCGCCACATGCAGTCTAAACAGTCTCCTCCATCACTCCCCCTATACGTGACACATCATTTATTATGGGGATACATCCCAAATGACACCCTAATACCTTTGTCGTGCACTACTTTTGATGGGTTCTGAACAAAAGTAGTGCACTACGTAGGGAATAGGGCGCTATTTGGGAAGCAAACATGGTTGATTCCGCTGATTAAAGTGTGCGAAGACTGTCTGGCTGTGCTGAGGCTTATTATACTGAATAGGACCGGAGGAGGCTGATATCCCTACATCACTGATGTACCGAACCCAGGCAGAGGGAGAGAGTGTGTGTGTGACTGGAACAGGGTGACTGTGTGAAGGAGAGGGAGACGGAGCGAGAGAAATAAAGGTGTGTCCATCCTCCTCTCCCCTCTCTCTTCTAGGTGGTGTGTCCATCCTCCTCTCCCCTCTCTCTTCTAGGCGGTGTGTCTGTCTGTCCTGAGGATGAGTAATGATGTTGTCATCTCCATGATTTTCCATTCATCAACGTCAAGATGGAGAAAGAGAGAGGGGGTATACTGTAGAGACAGAGAAAGAAAGAAAGAAAGAAAGAGGGAAGGGAGAGAAAGAGAATATAGTGTATAGAGAGAGAGAAAGAGGAATGGAAAGAGAGAAGAAGAGTGAGCAAATGAGAGAAATACAGTTGAAGTCGGAAGTTTACATACACTTAGGTTGGAGTTATTAAAACTCGTTTTTTTCAACCACTCCACAAATTTCTTGATAACAAACTATAGTTTTGGCAAGTCGGTTAGGACATCTACTTTGTGCATGACACAAGTAATTTTTCCAACAATTGTTTACAGACAGATTATTTCACTTATAATTCACTGTATCACAATTCCAGTGGATCAGAAGTTTACATACACTAAGTTGACTGTACCTTTAAACAGCTTGGAAAATTCCAGAAAATTATGTAATGGTTTTTGAAGTCTGATAGGCTAATTGACATCATTTGAGTCAATTGGAGGTGTACCTGTGGATGTATTTCAAGGCCTACCTTCAAACTCAGTGCCTCTTTGCTTGACATCAAGGGAAAATCAAAAGAAATCAGCCAAGACCTCAGAAAAAGTATTGTAGACCTCCACAAGTCTGGTTCATCCTTGGGAGCAATTTCCAAACGCCTGAAGGTACCACGTTCATCTGTACAAACAATAGTACGCAAGTATAAACACCATGGGACAACGCAGCCGTCATACCGCTCAGGAAGGAGTTCTGTCTCCTAGAGATGAACGTACTTTGGTGCGAAAAGTGCAAATCAATCCCAGAACAACAGCAAAGGACCTTGTGAAGATGCTGGAGAAAACGAGTACAAAAGGATCTATATCCACAGTAAAACGAGTCCTATATCAACATAACCTGAAAGGCCGCTCAGCAAGGAAGAAGCCACTGCTCCAAAACCGCCATAAAAAAGCCAGACTACGGTTTGCAACTGCACATGGGG